TTCATTTGCTTTCCAGCCCAGGAAGATTACCTTCTATTTTCATTATTGTCTCGAGTCTGCCTGCAAGATCAAGGGAGATGTGATTTGCCAGGGCCAAAAGCTGTCTTAACTGTCTCAGGGGCTGAGGAGACGTCTCAGTTGCTTACAAGCACTGGAGGATTGGTGGGCGTGGTACCTGCCTATAACCCAGTCCTCCAGGTTTAAGTGAGACCCTGCTTCACCATGGAGGAGGTGGAGGGTGATTGAGGAAGGCTTCTGACACCCCCACACACCTGAACACACACACTGACACATGTGAGCATACACACCAACTCCAGTTCTTTCACTACAAAGGGTCACTGTGAATGCACAGGCCCCTGGCACTTCTCCTGGATTTCTCTGATTGGCTTGTGCTTCCCTGCCCACACCGACCATTTTCAACTTTTTCTTTTTCCATCACTGACTCCTCTTTTCTTCCTTCATAGGGAAGAGGGAAATGTCCTGAGGTTAGCTGCTTTAGCTAGAAACTGCCTGCATTTCTTCTTGACCCCGCCCTTGTTGAGTGCGCCCATGTGCTCCTTTGCCGTTCTGTCTCTCACTCAATGCTTTCCTTCTTCCTGTAGTGTTTCTGGTTAAACTGGCTTGCCTTTTGTGGGAGCGCCATCCCTCTTCTCCTGCTTCCCCTGCTTCTTGGAAGTACTTCAGATCCCAGGTGTTGTTAGTGTCCTATAAAGTTTTCTCTAAATTTCCCCGAGTTAACAAAAGAAAGCAAATTGACACCACAGCTCATCTCTCCTGCTTCTTCTCACCTTTGCAGTCCCCACCCAACCCTATTGTTCCTTCCTTGCACATCTTTGTTTCCTCATTGCTGTATCCCACAGCCCTTTGTCCGCTGTGCACCCACCAGCTCCACAGACATGCCTTTTTCTAAGGTTGTGCTTGGGAGTTCAGTGTTTGCTGCTCTTCCTTCACATCTCTCTTCCCTGATGTGTCTACAAAGAACTTGTTTTGTGTCCTGTATCAAGAGCAGTGCATTCCTGCATCCCCACAAGACAACCCAATGTAGAACCTGTGTCCTGATTGATCCTCTTCTTTTTTGTGAACAGATAAAATAACATGTTATAGAAAGTGGGCCAGGGGGTGGGGGTGGGGTGGCTCTGTGGTCAAGTGCACTGATTGCTTTTCTAGACATGAAGTGTGATTCCCAGCACCCACATGGTAATTCTCAACCATTTGTAGTTCTAGTTCCAGGGGATCTGACACCCTCTTTTGATCTCTGTGGACCCTGCATGCACACAGTGTACAAATATACATGCAAGCAAAACACTCATATGAACAAAAAAGGGCCAGAAGTTTTGCAGCTGTTTTGTTCTTGCCGTTTTACAGATTGAGATTTACACCTTGATAAGTAGCAAGTTCCTTAAATTCTACTATTCAAAATAATTGTGACTCAAATACATTTCTTTAATAAAATATAAGCACAGCAAGTACAAAGATCACTTTGTCTCATTAGAAATAGGGTTTATCTGATTGCTTGAAAATAACATTTTTCAATGCTTCAAATTAAGATTTGTGTGGCTGACTTTCCTTTCTTCCCTTTCCAGTTCTTAGTTATGTTCACATTAGTGAGGCTTGGTTAAGCTTTGGTGGATTCTGGTGGTTTAGATTTGGTTGTTGGGTGAGCCTTGCTGGTTCAGGCAAGAATCCTATATAGTCTCCAGTCTGTCAGTCTGTTGGTGTTGTGTGGAGTTTTTTGCCTTGAAGGCTATCGCGTGGGAGACTCATGGCTCTCCTCTTGGAGTCAGGTCTTATTGAGAAGAATGTTTAGGTGCTAAGACATGAAGTGTCTTCGTGTTTCAGAGTGAACTAGTTTACACTAGTTTAGACCATCACGCTTTAGGCTAAATATGCTGCCGGGTTCAGTCATTTGTTTTTAAGCACTGAGGTACAGTGTTTTTTTATTTTTTATTTTTTATAAACATAGGAGGTAATTGGAATATTTTCAACATATCTCAGGCATCTCATTTACTGGTATGAATTTTTAAAATTAATGCAAAGTTTTAAAATTTAGGCATCAGTCTTAACTTGTGTATACTGACAAGTATTTAAGTAATTAGGTTTTTGTGTGTGGTGCTGTCATCTGACTGCAAGGCCTCATGCATGCTAATAAAAGAGAATGGGAAGATGGTTCTTTTTCAGTCCTGTAAGTTAAAAAATAACACCATTGAACCCAGAGGCTTAATACTTAGGAAATAGTAGGCTAAGCCAAGCAACTCTCCTACAAGGAATTAAAAAAAATATATAAAACTGCATGTGCTTGAATAAAACCCAGTACTCTCTTTTGAAAAACACTTGTTTTCTGGATTTGGAGCTGTTTAACTACCAACATGGTTTTTTTTTTGAACCATAGCAAATCTTATTGGATTAATTTTTCTCAGTTTAAAGTATGATTGCTGTGTTTTCTTTTTCTTTTTTAAATTAAATTACTTAAAAATTTGTTTTAAGATGTTGAAATTTTGAAACATAAAAACTTTGGTAAGCAAAGTCTCTTCAAAATCATATAGGTGCTTCTACAAAGTTAGAAACTATAATTAAACCAAAGAGAACACCTCACATACAGAGTACAACAATAATAACAACACTCACCTGGCAGCTCAAATGAAGTTCAAGGTCTCCCCATGTAGCCCAGGAGTTCACTGTGTAGATCAGGCTGGCCTCAATTTGCCGGGACTTGCCTTTCTCTGCCTCTTAATTAGAGGCGTGTGCTGCCACTCCTGGTAGGAGTTTCAGACGCTTTAAAAACTAGCCTTTCCACGATACTTTGTTTCTGAGATAAATAGGGTGGCAAGGGATTCTAGATGTTTTCCTTTCCAGAGGACTGACCCTCGGCTAGACTGTAGGCTTGTTGGGATATATACCCCTCTGTAGTGAGATTTATTTCTGAGAACCAGGAAGTGTGTGTGCACCCTTCCTCTGTCAAGTCCATTGCAATTTTGACCTGCTTGGACATATCACTGTGGAGTGTTTGTTAGAACAGTACGAATCATCAGCTGCCACATGTCGGACTCTGAGCCTGTCCTTGGCATCTTCACGAGGGGTTGTGAACATGCAGGCAAGCGTCCACCATGCTAGCCAAAGAATAACAGAAAAAAAAGCTGTTTATGTAGCATCACAGAAGGGAAGACAAGGCCGGAGTCAGGGGTCACAGCAGCAGGGTGTCTTGTGCCCTTCTGTGTGTGCATTCTAGAGACTTTGGGTGTTTTCCTCTTTTCCTCCAGAGACAATAGTTTTACCATTTAATAATGCAAGTTATTAAATAAATTTCCACCCTGAATCTTTTAGCACATAACATGTTTGGAGATTTTAAAAAGAATTTAAGACATAGTCTTTCTCTTTCATATCATTAGGATTTGTGAAGAAGATACATCACAACCATGGTAAAGATGTTAAGATGAGATTCTTAGGTTGAATGAGACTCAGTGCTTGTATTTTCGAGAGTACAGATTAAAGGAGGGTCATCCAAGTGTGAAGTGCTGAGGAAAGACTCCGCACATGGGAGAGATAAATTATATAATGTGTGTGCTTAACTTTCATGGCTAACCTTACCTGGCTAATGCATTCTTTGAAAGGGATCATTAAGTATTCAAATTTTTCTTTACAGAAAACAAACAAAACCCCCAGCTTTAATGACAACAACAAAGATGATAGTAGTGGAATCTGAAATGTCTGAGAGCAACAGAGAAACATGGGTCTGGGAATAAGCCAGGCAAAAACAAGCAAGGGAGAGAGTCTGCTCTGAGGGAAGGACTATGTGAAAGCTCCTTGTACGCAAGCCTGCCTTATTTATTTATTTACCTTATTTATTTATTTTTGCAGTTTGTGCCGTTAAAGAAGTGTATATATTTGAGTATTTGATATTAATCTATAACTTTCTTGAGAAGGTTATGATTTTTTTACCTTTCAGTATGCAATGACATTATTACTTGATTGGAGACTTTTTGTTGAATTAATAAAAATAATTCTGATTTTCTTTTTCAAAAATGCTACTTTGTTAATTTTCAGATCTCATCTCAAAAAGTAGTTTTTAGAAATTAGTTCAGAACTGAAGGTTGTAACTCAGAAACACTGAAATACTTGTTTTCTGCTGTAGATTTCACCCCTCAGTGGAAATGTTCAGGTGTATGTTTATATCCAGTTTTATGTGTCTGCCTTTCAAACTAAATAAGATTATGAATTTCTTAAGCTGTAAAATCATTAGGAGATACCAGTTCAGAAACACAGGATGACTGTTTTAAAAAGGGTAGATTCCTTTCAAAATTTAAACAGTTTGTTCTTTTCACAATCGAATGCCTACCTACTCTCCTTTTGAGCAAAATCACGTAGACGGAAACACTGTTGGGTGAATTGTCATAAAAATGGACAGCGCATGCTTGAATTAGATGAGTTTATATAGAGTGGGTATTTATTACACATACAGTTTAGACTAAATGTAAAACGGACAAGGCTCTAATGTGAGAGTGTTTACACGTTTCTCAGCATTTTCTGCTTCATGTGTTATGACAGTGAACTCTGTGGTTCTGGGCGTTAATCTGAGGCTGGTGCTGACCTGAGGCTGCAGTGACACTCACTGCAGCCTTCCATTCAGCCCTCTGTTTGCCCAGCGTCCTGGGGAGCTTGCTTCGAGCTAGGCGTGAATGTGCCTGCTTATTAACATATTGGGCTATGCTGCTTCCATGTAGTGAGGGAGGTTTGGGTTTCAGATTTATGCACGGATGAACTGGAGAGGGGATACAGGTGTGTTATAGAAACTGTTTGGTTAGGCCTGCATAATAAATGAGTTCATGGGTAATACAGACCCTGAGTCTTTTTTTGTTGCATTGTTGCTTTTTAGCTGGCATTTGAAGAGAAATTTGATTCTATGGGAACTGTGAAACAATCAGATTTGTAGTTTTGTATCTGCTGATGGGTGATTGTAATTCTCTTTTCAGAGCATCTGTTAATGCAGGCATTTGTCTCTTTAGGTTCATGTGAAAATGGCGGATGAGGCTGTCTGTGTTGGCCCAGCTCCCAGCAGTAAAAGCTACCTCAACATGGATGCCGTCATGGAAGCCATTAGGAAAACCAGGGCCCAAGCTGTGAGTCTGAATGAACCTATCTACTGCAGCTGTTTCATATGTAGAAAGCTGGAGTTTGTATTAGAAAGAATAAGAAAGAATGATCGAAAATGCTGTTGCAGTTAGTTGATGTCACATGAGCTAAATGTGGCCGGATTCGCTCCTGGAAATCAAAGGCTTTCTGGCATCTGGCAGTGTCGCGGCTCATGCCGCAGGTGGCTGCTGGCCTCAACTCTCACACCAGGGAGCAGCTTCAGTTCAGTTCCCGGTTTGCCAGGAAGAAAGAAATCCCAATTAGTTTTGAGTATTAACCCTTTCAGTGTAATAAGAGCATTCAAAACAAAAAACAAAACCTGGAAACTTCTGTATTATAATCAGGTTCTGAAGTGTTTAAATTCCAATTTAGTCATTTAAACATTGTGCACACTCAGTTGCATTGCTAGAAATAAAAACAGCGCATTTGCTAATTGTTTCAGTTTGTTAGTGTCAACAAAATACATTGATAAATTCTTTCTGCACTCCTCATTTGGGTTGGATGGAGTAGAGTCCAAGGTGTGTGTGTGGGTGGGAACTAGTTTCTGACATGAGCTATGGTAATTTTTGATTTTAACCAGAGAACTGGCTTTACATTTTATGTTAAAAGCCGAGTTATCTCCACAGTCAGATGAAAGCAGGCAGCTCCGACACCAGCTTGGAGCCTCAGTGCTCTGCTCATTTCTTTAGAAAGAAATGTTTAAATAAACCCTCTTCTAGACTTCACATTGTGGATGCTTGTAGCACATTATCCCTTAACAGAAGGAAAACCCTTCACAAGTGTCCAGTGGAATTCTCTATGCTGGTAACATGGCGGAGTGAAGGGCTTATCCTGTTTGAATTATTCTTGTACATGCCCATGACACTTGGTTTGGGTTCAGATATGAGATTTATAGCTGTTTCAGGTTCCAGCTCTGGCGCCTGCAGGAATCTGACTTTCCTTTTAGAGGTGTTATAGTAGAGGCTGCCGCAGCACTGATGTTGGCATGGCTTCTGGTTGCCGTGTGGTAGAGTGAAAAGTGACTGATTAGGACACAGCTTAGACTGTGCACTGTGGCTTCTGGAAGATGGCACAGTAACTGCGAATAGTCACATATGAAGTGAGGGGGGAAGGGATAGATATCAATAGATGGGACAAAGTGCAAGTCAGACCAAACCTCTGTCTAAGAGCTGTTTGGCAGCGGCTGAGGGAGTGTTTGAACATCTTCTGCTAGTAGCAATAAGGTGAACTGGGTAACTTAGAGCTTGGGCTTTATTTTCTTATTTACGCAGAGTCTCTCTGCATAGCCCTGGTTGACCCAGAAATTACCGTGTAGACGGGCTGGCCTCAAACTCACAGCAGTCTGTCGGCCTGTTTGTCAAGTGCTGGGATTAAAGGCCTGTGCTCCCACGCCACGCAAGAATGGCTTTAGAAGCAGCTGTTCTTGCGTTGTAGATCATAGCCTTTGGCCCCCTAGCCCTTGTGAAGTTCTCTAAACTTGTTGGCCAGCCTCGGGTGAGTTTCTCTGGGTAGAGCAGACGGGTGCAGTGGGGCAGGCACACAGACGCCCTTGTGGCCTGCCGATGGGGCAAAGGAGGACTTTGACTCTGCTTTGGAGAGAGCTGGCAGCTGAGGAGCCGCTTGGGCAGTGGGGACTTGTAGCCTGGGAGGATTAAAATGGAACGAAGTTAAAGGAGCCTTTTGTTTTCAATCCTAAGGTTCATCCAGGTTATGGCTTCCTGTCAGAAAACAAAGACTTTGCAAGGAGTTTGGTAAGTCTGCCACAGCCAGACATGATTGTCTTATTCCAGAAAGCAGTGTTACAGAATTCTAATTCATTTACTGACTTTTAGATGATTGTTACAAGTGAATGTTTTCATTCTGTAGTCTGGGTCTTGATGAGTAATTATAAAAATGGAAGAGGAAAAGTCACCATTCTGTTCAATTGGTTATATTATTTGTTCCTTAGATTTTAATATTGAAAATTTCAGATTTTAAAATGTAAATATGGGGCTAGAGTTAGAGTAAATACTGCTGCTGCCTAGCACCCAAGGGTGGTTCCTAGCGCCACTCTAGCTCTGCAGGCTGTGGCCCTCTCTGCTGGCTCTGTGGGTGTGTGCACTCACCTGCACACACTTCACACAGACACGCACACACATAGTCAAATACAGTAAATCTTATGTGAAGAGACCAGGTTGTTCATGGACTTATTACAGTGACATTGTTAAACCAAGAACACAGGAGATGAGGCCAGAAGTAAGATTTTTATTCCTAGTGCCTTTATTTTGGCTGGTCTGGAGCTTGCTCTGTAGACCAGGCTGACCTTGAACTCATAGAGATCCGCCTACATCTGACTCTCCCATATACCATTGCACAGCTTTGTAGGCAGCCATATTGTTGAGGTAAGCAGCCTCCCTTGGGTTCCTGCACTGCCGCAGTTCTTGCCCTCTTTGGATTCCTGCTCTGACTTCCCTCAATGATGCCAAACCCTTTCCTCTCTAAGTTGCTGTTGGTTAGGGTGCCTGTCGCAGCAGCCACCGGACAGAAGCGTTCTTCCTAAACATAGACCAATGCTTGTTGGGGCTGCCGTTACTTCCATCTGTCACACAGACTTGCGCAGGCATCGGGGCCACTGGTTGTGGACGTTGCCCAGTGCCCCCTCTTGTTTCATGAGTAAACATGTAAGTGATGCAGAAAACCAGTTACGGAATTTATTACATGATGAGATATTTTCCCATGTTTGCTTTTTAATGTCTTTGACTTTTTCTGTGTTCATCTGTCAACCTGTCATTTTTAATTTTGTACTTTAAATTGTATATAACTCTTAGTTCCATTCCTGTTCAGTTCATTATTTACTTTTAAAAAACACTTTAATACTTGCTTACAGTTGCTTATTTACAATTTCAGTAAGAAGCTTTATTGAGATATATTGGTATTCCATAAAGCACACCCATAGCGACTCACTCTCTGCTTTAGCTCCTGAAATCACAGCCTCAGTCAGGAGAAAGGCGTGTCCATGGGCCCCTTACATCTGCGCTTCCCCTCCTATGCCTTCCCTCTTCCTTCTAGATGACTGGGATCTACTGTGTTATTTTAGGTTGTTTTGCTTTGCAAGGATTTTAGACAGATGTAACCATACAAGTTGTGTTAGGTTTAGAAGGGATTCCTCCCATTTTTCACTCAGCAAACTTATTTTGTAATTGATCCATGTTGTAACCATTAGTAGCACATTAATTTCATCCAGTTTCTGAGTCCTGTGTTCTCTTGTATGGGGTTGCCAGCCTCACTTGTAACCGTTGTGTGTTGCTGCGTATTGGAAAGCTTTTCTCTGCTAGCTGCTACCACTGAGCCTGCTCAGGACAGGAGGCTTTCTGGACTCTTGCTTTCAGTTCTGTTTTCTAACCCTTTCGGGCTGTGAGAAGCAGTGGTATGTCTATGAGGAGGTGTAAGTGTGCGTTTCTCCTACTGGCTGCTCCACGTTGCCACACTCTGTCTGTTGCAAGGTGCTGTTTTTTTTTGTGATTTTGATTTGAATTTGTCTGGTGGTTAGTGAGTTAGCTGGGTTTGTATTGTTATTGAGTAAGTAGTACAGAATTGTTTCCATGATGGCTGTTCTTTTGTCTGATACTTATCATTGCTAGTGTTCTGTCACTGTGAGTTTCCTCTTTGTTTCTTGAACACTAACAGAGGTTCATTGCCTTAAGATGGTTGTGTCCCCAGACCCACTGCAGGTTGAAGACGCCATCGGGCAGTAGTTCTCAGCCTTCCTAATGCTGAGAAATGCTTCCATACAGCTCCTCATGCTGTGGTGACCCATAGAATTACTTCATTGCTACTTCCTAACTGTACTTTTGCTACTGTTATGAATCATAATATAAACATCTGATATGTGACTCCAAAAAGGGTCTTGCCCCTTAGGTTGAGAGCTGCTGCCTAGAGGGAGAAATGAACTGAATCTGTCTAGCCTTCCAACAGTGTGGTTCAGTAACATGGGCCACTGTAGACTTCCAGTTTCTTCTGGTCGCCCTGGAGGCCAGCATCACAGCAGGACTGTGTTGCAGGTTACTAGAGATCAGAAGTCCATGTTCGAAGTCCTTAGCAGTGACTGCTGGAAAGAGGCTGAGTAGTATTCCATTGTGTAAAAATACCACGGTTTCTGTGTCCATTCTTCCGCTGAGGGACATCTGGGTTGTTTCCAGGTTCTGGCTATTACAAATAAAGCTCCTACAAACATGGTTGAGCAGATGTCCTTGTTGTGTACTTGAGCATATTTTGGATATATGCCTAGGAGTGGTATAGCTAGATCTTGAGGTAGTGCAATTCCTAATTGTCTGAGAAAGTGCCAGATTGACTTCCAAAGTGGTTGTACCAGTTTACAATCCCACCAGCAGTGGAGGAGGGTCCCCTTTCTCCACAACCTCTCCAGCATGTGTTGTCACTTTACACAATGGAATACTACTCAGCAATCAAAAACAAGGAAATCATGAAATTTGCAGGCAAATGGTGGGATCTAGAAAAGATCATTCTGAGTGAGGTATCCCAGAAGGAGAAAGACAAACACGGTATATACTCACTCATATAGTCATATAAGATATGATAAACATAATGAAATCTATACACCTAAAGAAGATAAACAAGAAAGAGTACCCCGGGGTAAGATGATCAATCCTCACTTAGAAAGACAAATGGGAGGTGCATTGGACATAGGAGAAAACAAGTAACAGGACAGGAGCCTACCACGAGGGCCCCTGAAAGACTCTACCTAGCAGTGTATCAAAGCAGATACTAAGACTCATAACCAAACCTTGGCCAGAGTTCAGGGAATCATATGAAAGAAAGGGGAGTTAGTATGACATGGAAAGGATAGGAGCTCCACAAGGACCAAATATATCTGGGCACAGGGTCTTTTCTGAGACTGACACTCCACCAAGGACCATGTAGGGATATAACCTAGAACCTCTGCTCGGATGAAGCCTGTGGTAGCTCAGTAACCAATTGGTTTCCCATAGTATGGGGAACGGGGACTATTTCTGACAGGAACTCAATGGCAGGCTGTTTGACCTCCCCACCCCCCAGGGGAGGAGTAGTCATGCTAGGCCACAGAGGAGGCCATGGCAGCCAGTCCTGAAGATGAAAGGGGAGGAGGTCCTCCCCAATCAGTGGACTTGGAAAGGGGCAGGGAGGAGATGAGGGAGGGAGGGAGGGCTTGGGAGGGAATGGGGGAGCGGGATACAGCTGGGATACAGAGTTAATAAAATGTAAATAATAATAACAACAACAACAACAACAACAACAATAATAATAAAAGAAGAGGCTGAAGGCCGGTTGTATTCCTGACATGCAGGGAAGCTTTGAAAAGATGCTTTACATTGTGTGAGGGAGGAATTCTCAGTTTGTAAGTCATGGTGAGCTTAGGGTTTTTGTTATTGTGTTATTTTACTTTGGGTTAAAGAAAGAGGTGAATGGTGTATGTGGATATTTATATTAAATTTTAAAATAATGTGGTTTCTGACTTTAGTGCAAAACTTTATGTGATAATCTAGAAACAAACAATATAGACCATATAGAAAATGAGATATGTTTCAACATAAAATATTTCTTAATTTGTTTAGAAATTTTGCCTTTGGCTGGAGGAGTCAAATATAATTCTCTCTCCTAACTTATTTGAACATGTATCTTTTTTCTCTCATTAGTATTTGCGATTTGTTTGTCTCAGACATTATATGCAGATTTTGGTTGTTAGAAGCCTGAAGTGCTTTTTAACCCTTTCACTTTAGAGGCTTTAGGCTGTCACTGCTGAGCTCGCTTTTAGTTGCTGAGTTAAAGTTTGAAATTCTGGAAACCAATGTAGAAAGGTCACTTTGAGAATTATCTTGTGTTTTTGTGTTGTGTTTTATATTTAATTTTAGTACTATTGTATAGTAACTCTCTTTTCTGTTAGAACTGATTTTTATTGCTGTTTTTGTATTTAACCCCTAATTTTGGAATTCAGTAGAAAATATTTTCAAGTGAAAGTAGTAAGTTGAAGATTTCACTGGATTAAATGCAGTAACATTAATTATCACTTTTGTCTGCGGCTGGTGCTTTTTCCTGGCCAGCCCCACGTTCATTCTAAAATTAAGCTTTTAAGTGCATGCTGTCTAAAACCAGCAAAGAAGCAGAAGTAATGAGACAATGCCAGGCCTTTGCTGTGGACTGGACCTTGTCTAAGAAGGTTGCAGGTTCTTGGAACACTGATTAGAGACAGAGCTTGGCATGCTGGCGTGTGTGTCTAGTCAAGGGTGTGCTCTTTGTGTGTGTCTGTGTGCTCAGCCTTCCTGTGGTGAACTGTACTGTCTGCGTGTGCTTCTTCGTAGCTTCTCAGTTCTTCACCCACTAGTTGGTTGTTTGAATGTGGATGTTTTTAAAAAACTTTATTTATTTTTTTATTAATTATAGTTTATTCACTTTGTATCCCAGCTGTAGCCCCCTCCTTTATTCCCTCCCAACCACACCCTCACTCCCTCTTCTCTACCCATACCCCTCCCCCAGTCTGACCCTAGTTTATCAGGTCTTATCAGGACTGGCTGCTTTGTCTTCCTCTGTGGCCTGGTAAGGCTGCTCCCCACTAAGGGAGAGGTGATCAAAGAGCCAGCCACTGAGTTCATGTCAGAGACAGTCCCTGTTCCCCTTACTAGGGAACCCACTTGGACACTGAGCTGCCACAGGCTACACGTGTTCAGGGGTTCTAGGTTATCTCCATGCATGGTCCTTGTTTGGAGTATCAGTCTCA